AACCTTATGGTTAGTGGGAGTTCTAAGATAATTAATTTGTTCTATCTTAGAATAATTGATTTTGCATAATGAAATAAATTAATAATAATTAAACACATTTAAAAATGAAATTTGATTGCAAACAAAGTGACTTTTTAGTTTTATTTTTATGTGAATGATTGTCATTGTTTTATTTATAACATTGTGACAAAATTAGAAGTATGCAATACTAGGCATTAATTAGTGCATATATCTCTTGAATGTAGAATTATAAGATCTAAAGTATGAAAATCTAGTTTGTATTTGAAGAATAAGAGGTTCTTGATGTTCTGAACAATATTCTTGATGAGCCTGAAAAAGGGAATACATTCTAGCATAGAAGGGATTGAGAAGCTTATGAGACCTGGAAAAAGATAAACTCCACTATATGTGTTACGTTGCTTAACAATATGGAAAATGATATTATCCGTAAGTTCCAGCCTCATGAAATAGCCAAAGAGATGTGGAGTGCCCTAAAAGCAAAGTTTGGTGCAACTTTAGTTAACAAATAAAAGCATCTTGCTATCAAGTTTGACACATACAAGAAACGACCTAATCATAATATAAGGTAGCATGTGAGAGAAATGTCAAACATGATAAACGAGCTGAAAGAGCTTGGTCACACTTTGACAGATGAACAATAAGTTCAAGCTATTATCCGTTCTTTACCACATAGTTGAAGCCTATAAAAGTGCATTATACCAACAATAAGAATATAAGGACTCTTAATGATGTTTTCCGTCATCTTCAACTAGAGGAATATTATATGGAAGCATTTGAGCCTAGTGCTGATGTTTCTCATCATTTTCAATTAGAAGAAGATCGTATGGAAGAATCTAAGTCTAGAGTTGATACATATATGAAATCATTTAGTTCAAAAGAAGCTTAAGCTTCAAGCACAATCCACATAGTGGGAACAAAGAGAAAGCTTTTAAAAAGCCAAAGAGTGGCCAAACTAGTAAAGGATAAGGTACCAAGACTCATTTTAAGAAAAACAAACTGAGAATTAAGTGCTTTAACTGTGGCAAAAGGGTCACTTTGCTTATGAATGTAACAAGCCAAAGAAGGTACAAACCTTGTAATGCTAAAGTATTGTATTTGTTTCTAGTATTGTTATGATGACTGAATTACATCTTTTGTGACTTGTAGATTCAAGGGCCACAAACCATGTAACATGAGACAGGAATGCATTCATGAATTTTCGTTGGATTCCATGTGAAACAAAATGTATCTATATAGGAAACAATTCACAATTTGAAGTAAAAGGAATTGGCACCTATAAACTATGCTTTTGGGGTTCATCTATTTGATTTCTCACAAGTCTGAAGCATTAAAGTGCTTTAGAAAGTATATGACCTTGGTAGAAAATCAATTAGATAGAAACATTAAGGCATTAAAAAAATGCCCAGAACGTGAGTATTTATTTGATAAATTTAGACAATTATGTGATGAAAAGGGTATTGATAGGTAATTGACCATTCTTAGGACTTCACAACAAAATGGTCTTACAAAGAGAAGAACTAAGACTTTTTTAAAAATGGTAAGGTCTATGATGGCCTAAGCAAATTTACCAATCGCTTTTTATAGTGATGTGTTGTTAATTGCTACTTATATACTTACTAGAGTACCTTTTAAATTGGTTACATCCATTCCTTATGAATTATGAACTTACATACATAGGCATAACAGTTTTGAAATGATTTAATATGCTAGATTGCAAGCTGATAGATACTTTTATGACAAAAAGTGAAGGCTTTAACTAAAGAATATGTCCTAAGACTCCATAAAAAAAGAAACAAATGGTAAAAGTTCCTTACTCTAGTATTGTTAGGAGCCTTATGCATGTTATGTTGTGCATAAGGCTGAACATCTACTATGCCATAGGCATGGTAAGCTAATATCAATCCAATTCAGGTCAACCCTATTGAAAAGCTATTAAAAGGATATTGAGATATCTAAAAGGCACCATGAATTATTTATTATGCTATCAAGGAAGTGATATGCATTTGGTTGGCTATACGAACGCTGATTGGAAAGGAGATTTAGATGAAAGAAAATCTATCTCTGGCTATGTTTTCTTACTGAATAATGAGGTTATTTCTTGGAGCTGTAAGAAATAGACTTATATAGGAATATCCACAATTGTAGCATTTTTAGTAGCAATACAAGAAGTTATTTGGCTTAAGAGATTTTTATATCACTTGGGACTTAAGAAAGATGAGTTCAACTTAGTGTTGGTGAATTGCGATAGTCAAACTGCAATCGCAGTCACAAAGGATCCCAAATTTTATTATAAGATCAAACATATAAATACCAAGTATAACTATAAGAGAGACGTGATTGCACAAAAGAAAGTCAACATGAAGTACATTTTTATGCATAAGATGATTACAGATTTGTTTACTAAGCCCATACCTAGAGACATGTTTAATAATCACATGAGATCTCTAGGATTACATAGATATTGTAGCATATGTATTGATTAAATAGTTTCATATGAACAATGTATGATATTTTCCCATTTAAGTTCACTTATATTGAATACAATTAATATCGTTAAAGTTTAATACTTTATTTCATTATACATGCACACAGGTATATGTATATGTACATATATGATATGATTCAAAAAGTATGTCAAACAAATGATTAGCCTTCTCATATAGGCAATCGCCTCAATGGTTTGGAACCATAGAGATGAGATTAGTTTTAAGTTATGGATCTAGAGCCCAAGCTTAAAATAGAATCGCCTTAATATGGGATCAAAATAAGGTTACTCAATATCGAGAATTGTGACCAAAAGTGAATAAACCCACAATTCACTTTGTTTGTCTTAGTATGCTAATGAAAGTCTCATTGATTAAATGAAATCAAGTAGAGTTATGGACTTAAATTAGATACTGGGAGTAACTGAACTATCTCTTGTACAGTATCAATATATATATAATGAAAGACATACATTCCCTGGTAAAAGAAGAATAATACCATAGCATGTGTTTCATACCACATGTGTATTGTTTAACCAATAAGGGTAATAGAAGAATATATCTCTACTTCTTATTGTGTGAGACCCTTAAGATCAAAGGATATCATACTTAATACCCTTAAAGACCTTTGACTATTTTTTAAAGTTTTAGTTTAATGTTAGCTATCTTGGATTATTGTCAATGGTCATAGATAATTCGATCTAATAGGACATATCTAGATAGCAGTTGAATTAAAATAGAGAGATTTTAGAAGAAAGAAATATCATTTTGATGTCACATTTTGTTGTATTCACAAGTCAACCAATTATGTTTGAAACGTCAAACATAATTGTGAATACACAAGTATATCATATAATATGATAAAAGAGAGATCGTGAGAAACTTGAAATATAATTGAATGGGTCTAATGTATTGCATACTTACTCTACTTGTACTTGAGAGTTACTATACATACCTAACAGTTATATAAGTGACTATATGTGATTATGAGTTACCATATGCACTTGATAGTCATATAGCACCTGAGCTCTCAAAGTATACTGGTCGCACAGTCTATTTTCTTGTATGAACCTGATGCAAAGAATAGAGAAAATATTCTTGAGATCATAACACCCATTCTATACAAGTGGGAGACTAGAAAATAAGCCAACCTGACTCTGATACCAAATGTAAGAATAACTGCCCATAATAGGCTTAACTCTATGAAACCAACAACCTTGGCAGCTTATTTTCTTATCATTAAACTGCCTTAGGTAGTTTTCCTTTTTATAAGTAAAAAATGCCATCTATTTTTTGGTGCTTGAATAGCAAGCATTCGGCCATTAATATATAATAGAGAATATAGAGAAAAAAGTCTTTCATGAAGAAGAAAATAAGGAAAAAAAGAGAGAGAGTTGAGTAGGCATTTGAACAACACTGAGTGAGGAATTCTTGTATTCGGTGTGAAGGACTTATATTGTGGAATCGAACAATTTTCATATTATGATCTTATTCAATGATCAGTAATTCAAGCTAGGTTCATTTTCACTTCCGCTTCTACTTAACAACTAAGTATATATATGATTTTGTCCGTATATGTCTTCCATGAAATTTTCTTATACTTCCAAACTCTTATCCTGGTCCTATCCTCGATCCTTCAACTTATTCCATCCATCAAGTCCCACCGTGCCATCCATATGCTGCGCCACATGAGAGGCGGGTCCCAACCGAATTTTGATGACATGAAATCACCGCCTGGGAAGTACTTGTCACTAAGAATTTTGTAAAGCAAAGAGTATTTGTTATTTAGTAATCTCCATCCTTGCTTAGCTAACAGGGCGCAATTAAAAAATTCCAAGTTTTTGAAACCCATGCCATCTTCTCTTTTGCTCATACACATCATATCCCATCTCAACCAGCACATGCCCATTCCATTTGCCCTTGCACTCCACCAAAAGTTGCTAATCAAGCTATTGATTTCCTGGCACAATCTCTTTGGCAATTGGAAACAACTTATACTGTAGGATGGAATGGCTTGGAAAACTGCTTTAGTAAATATCTCTTTACCTCGCATAGATAATAAACGGCTACTCCATAGCTCAATCCTCGACTGAATTGTGTCTTTCATCTCATTGAATGCCCTTTTTTTTCCTTCCGACCATGGTTGGCAGCCCAAGGTACTTTTCGAGATCTAATGTCTCATTGACCCCAAGTAGTTGTCTCACTCTTTCACGGTTCCCTTTATCCATATTCCTACTGAAGTATACTAGAGATTTCTCCAAGTTAATCTGCTGACGAGAACCAGTCTTATAAACCTGTAGCACGCTTCTTACCATTTCACATTAGTTTTGGTTTGCCTTGAGAAACAGCAAACTCTCATCTACGAGAAAGAGATAAGTGATTATTGGCCCATTCCTACTAGCTTGCACACCAGTGAGGTGATTTCCTCGTTGATGTTTTGTGAGGAGAGCGGAGAAACCTTCAGTACATAGTAGAAATAAATAAGGCGATAACGGGTCACCCTGGCATAACCCCCTTCGTGGGAAATCTATCAGAAACATCACCATTTAACACCATAGAGTAGGGCATAGAAGTAATACATTGCATTATAAGATCTATGAATCGAGGATGGAATCCAAGCTGATACATCATAGCCTCTAAAAACGACCACTTAACCCTATTATATGCCTTACTCATGTTAAGTTTGAGCGTTATAAAGCCTTCTTTACCCTTGCTTTTCATCTTGAGTTTGTAAATAATCTCATAAGCAGTAAAAACAATATCAATGATTAATCTTCTTGGTATAAAGGCACTCTTATTCTCACTAACACAATAGGGAAGTATACACTTAAACTGGTCCATAAGGACCTTCACAATAATTTTATAAATTACATTATAGAGGCTAATAAGTTGAAAACTAGTAACTTTCTTTGGGTTTTTTTATCTAAGGGATAAGAACAATATTAGTGCCATTTACCTCTTCCAATGATGTCCCCTACTAAAAAATGATAGGTAGAAAGCAATTACATCAGGTCCCATAATGTTTCAAAACTTTTGGTAGAAAATGGCTGGCATGCCACCGGGCTTGGTGCTTTAGTTGGATGCATATGCTTTATAGCTGCACGAACTTCCTCATCTTTGAACTCTGCCACCTGCTGTGCATTCATTTCAGTTGTTACTTTGCACTCAACAGCTTCCATAATGTCCTCAATATGACTAGGCTTTTAAGAATTATATAGATTTTGGAAATACTGGACTATCATATCTTGTATCTCATCCACACTATCAACCCAAATCCCATCATCATTTTTTAGACCTTTAATCATGTTATTCCTTCTTCTGGCCATTGCCTGTGTATAGAAATAAAAAGTATTTTTGTCCTTTTCTTTAAGCCAATTCACCTTCGCCTGCTGCAACCAATAGAGCTCTTCCTTCTGCATAGCTATATTCAACTCCTTGCACAAAGCCTCTGTCTTTCTCAGTTTGTCATCTGTGGGCTCCATGGATTTAAGTTCCTTATACTCCTCTTTTAGTCTAGACACGACCCTTTGGTGGCTTTCATTCCTTGCCTTATTCCATGCCTTTAGACCCATCCCAATCTGTCTCAATCTCATATGAATACCCACCTGCGTATGCTCGGCCCACATATTTTTTTATGATGTTTTCTATTTCAATTTCCTTCGTCCAAGAAGCTTCAAAATAGAAACTCGCTTTCTTCCATCTTCCTACTTCTACCTCTTGTGACCTTGCATCCTTCACTATCCACAATAACTGGGTTACAATAAAAAATTGTAAACACAAGGTTTGTAACTGTGTGCATTGGAAACAACTCAATCCAAGCTTTATTTCCCAGTCCCCTATCTAGCCTCTCGCAAATAACAGTATGGGACTCCTTACCTCTTTTCCACATGTACCACAAGCCACAAAAGCATAATTCTTCCACCTTGACTCCCAAAATGGCCCATCTAAACTTTTCTATTTGTCTGTGTGGTCGAATATTACCTTCTTGCATTTCAGAGCTCCATAAAATCTCATTGAAATCCTTTAAACAGAGCCACGATTTTGAACACTGAGAGGCTAACCTCTCCAGCCGTCGCCAAGTTTGGTGCCTGTCAACTATCCTTGGTTTCCCGTAAAATCCCGTGACACGCCATTCTTGCCCATTTTCATCCACAACCTCCATTTCAATATGATGTTTAGAAAAACTTGGTAAATTGAGCTCCATAGTCCCCTTCCACAGCATCCCAAGACCCCTACTCTGACCCACCACATCCACCCTAAACATTGAATTCATGTTACATCTTCTCTTGGTTCTATCCAATGTATTACCCTTTAAGAATGTCTCACTTAAAAAGATAATGTCAGGATCTTCCCTCTTCACTTTCTCGGGAAGGGCTCGAATTGTCCAAGGGTTCTCAAGCCCACAACAGTAATCTCCGCCGTTTCGCTTTTCATCTGGTGCATATCAACCCCCACTATTCTCCTTTCTTGGTTTGGCTTTCTTTCTCTACATACTCTTCAATAGAAGTCTTTTCTAGATCCTTTTTCGACTCCACCCCTACGTGACTAACTTGCATGGCATGGCTCGAGTTACGTATTTTATGTTCGTGCTTACTTTTCTTTCCACTTTCCTTCTTGGATAGCTCTTCGATATCTTCCTTCTGACTTTCATCCAGTTCAACATTCATCAACTCTGGAGTAGTTGTCATGTTCGAAAAGCCACCCCCACAGCTGCCACCCCTTCAGTGGCTCGCTTGTTTTTACTCTCTTCCATTGTCGATTCCATTATCTCATCGTATGTCATTGTCTCAGGCAACATAGCGGGCTTTTTCTGAGAACTAATTAACGTTGAGGGCGACCAATAATTAGATGGTTCAATTGGTTAAAATCTTTTATTTTTTATGAAAAATTTTTGGATTTGAATCTTATTAGTGATTATTTATTGGATCATTTTGAATGCATAATTTATAATTATTTATCTAAATTGTGAGATAAGATGCATCTTAACTTAACTTCAAAATCTGAATAATATGTCGACTTCAAATTTAAATTTTTCTTACAAAAAAAATTTAATGTTAAGGCCCCACATAGTTCTTTTTCTATTGTTATTATATGGCAACATTTCCCCACTACTACCCACGTGAGCTTGCATGGAATTTCCCCCAGCATATTCCATTTTTAACTCTCTTCTATCCATGTTTAAATTCCTAAGAATCCCTGATATTTTACGCCGTGATTGAGTAGCAAATCATGGGCATTCCTGAAATTCCTTCTTGAGATCTCATGCCCTCATGATTGGTGCCACCATTATTCAGCCTTCCATCATCATTAACCCTTCCTTGTCTAGTCTTTTCTTTTCTCGCCGCCTTCGCATGGCCTGCACCCCTGAAGTTAGCCAAGCCGCCCCTTGCATATCTCCCTTTTGGTGGCAATGCCCTAAGCCATTCTCCATATTGAGCCTTTGCCACATTCCCATCCTCTGGATGGCCTTGCATTCCATAATCAGCCTAAATGTGTCCAATGATGCCACACTTGTAGTAAAAGTTGGGAAGCCTTTCATACCCAGCCTCCTCATGTAGCCTAGCCATTCCTTCCCCAAATTAATATTAATCACCTTAGTAGTTTACGGATGTCAACGACAACTCTAAAGTGTAGAAATCTAGTCCATTCACCTCCCCCGAGCCCTTCATCCACCTCTGGCAACTTGCCTACTTTTTCTGACATGCATTTACCTATATCTTGGCATCTCATTCCTAATGGAAGTCCATACACTCTAACCCAGAAGCTTGCTTTGTGGAAGCTATATTAGTAGGGCAAAATCTCGCCTTATAGTCCTCCTTCAACAGTACATGTTTATCGAATGTCCACGGTGCTCCTCCAAGCACTCTTTCCTTGTCACCCTTCATTGCAAACTTGAATAGTAATAAAGTTTAAGTGCATTATCTCCACCTTTTTCGCTAGCCTCCACACGATTTTCAATGTACTGATGAAGGCCTCCTGATTGAAATGTCTTTTGAGTTAAAAGCTTTCCCACCACCCATCTCTCCTCATCCGCTTTAGCATTATTAGTTATCAATCATTTGGCCAAACCCTACAACTCCTCCTCTATGAATGATAAATTTTTCCACAATTCCTCTAACTTATCTGCCATACTCAACCTACGCCCCTTTACTCTAGTGGTAGACACTAACTAACACAATGAACTAACTCCCCAAAAACTTCGAAGAAGTGCTTAGGAAAAACTCTTGCAAAAGTCAAAACTAGACTCCTCCCAGGATAGGAGACTTCAACTGGTGCTTGTGTGCTTAGCGAGGAATTGAATTTGTTGAAGTTAAAATCTATCGTAAATAACGTTCAATAAAAAAATAGAGATAATTAAAGGACGTCGCAATTAGAGTCAGGATTTCATAAATAAATAGTAGTAAATTAAAATAATAAAAGAGTGAAAAAGAATTAAGAACGTTTATGAAGGTTAACTTACCTTTATATATAAGGTATAACAAGAATGTCAAATGCTAGCTCTGTTAAGAGAGACACACCAAGGGAAGAAAGGAATGAAAAGAAAATAATGTTTCTTTCTTTGATAAGAGAAAAATAGGAGAAGGAAAAGAAAACAGATAGATTTTCTCGTTTATCTTCTTCTAAATTTAATTCTTTCAATTAATGGAAGGAAAACATTTTTCTACTTAAATTAAACATTTATTGACAACTTTATTTTCAATTTTTTATACATAATATTTTCTTTCTCTCTATTTCCATCTTTTTTGTAAAATATATAGGGAAAAAAACAACTTTGCCCATCTTTTTCCCTGCTTCATACCGAACATAAGTAATTTCCAAACATAAACACGTTGATATCATGTTAGTTCAATTTAGATGATTCTTTTATATTTTTCTCCCTTTCTAAGCTTTACCTACTACTAATTCTTAAGTTAACTTTTTTCTTTTTTCAAATTAATTTTTATAATTCTTACTAGTCCCTTTGTTTCATTTTTTATTTTTAGATATTTTAAAATTATGTGATTTTTTAACACTTAAATATTTTGCTTTTTATATTCAAAATTATTTTTGATTTTTGATTTTACTTTTTTCTATTAGAAACTATAAAACATCAAATTTATAAAAAAAAATTAATATTATATAAACCAAAATCAAAATTCTTTACATTATATGAAAAGAGATTAATAATGTGAAATGAAAAGAGCACTATACATGTATTTTTAAAAAAAAAAAAATTTACATTAATTTTTGTTTTATTATCCATAAAAATAAAGTAGCAAGTTCGAATGGCCGCGCATACCGCAGACAACTAATGTCGATAGTAATTCCCATAGCTACGAAGAAAAACACTTTATTATTTATTTATTTTTGGGGGTAGTAGTTGCCATCGTTTCTTTCATCATCGGCCACCACCTTTCTTAAGAAAACAGCTCTTTTTTGCTTGCTTTAATTTATAGGGTTTAAAGATAACTTTTTCCAAGTAGGCTGTGCAAGTCGCAACGCCTCCAAATTCCACTATAAAATGAACTCCCAACTCATCTGGATTCTCTACCCTCGTGCCTCAGCATTGCAGCAGCTTCCGACAGTCTCGCACAGATTATACAGTTAGATATAAATCCTGAAAGCAAAAACCCTTCCCTGTTTAACCCTCTTCCATCGCTTTTCCCTTTAGTTTTTGTTTGCAGACATGTCTCTGCTCTCAGATCTTGTCAACCTCAACCTCTCAGATACCTCTGAGAAGGTTATTGCTGAGTATATATGGTATCTTTTCTTCGTTTTCCCAGATCTTTTGCTTCCATATTTCCCCTTATTTCATGTCTTAGTATGAGTAGTTGTAGTGGTAGTATCATATTTCTTTCTTTTGGTTTAAAGGACTGTCGGTCAAATTCTGAATCAATCATGATTTTCTGCTGTGTCTATGTGATCAATCATTGAACAGGATTGGTGGATCTGGGATGGACCTTAGGAGCAAAGCCAGGGTAAATCTATGATTTCTTGTTTTGTTTATTAATTTCTATAACTTTTTTTTTTATTTTGCTCTCTTTTCTTGTTAGTATTATGGTTTTTGATTTATATTGGGACATACAGACTCTTCCTACCCCAGTGAGTGATCCTCAAAAGCTGCCACAATGGAATTATGATGGTTCAAGCACTGGTCAAGCTCCTGGGGAAGACAGTGAAGTCATCTTATAGTATGCTCTGCCATTCTCTGTCTCCATTGCTCTCTCCTTTCCCATTTCATAACTTAGTTGATGATAGCATATAAATTTGCATTTCTTTTCTTTTCCCAAAATAGCCCACAAGCAATATTCAAGGACCCATTCAGAAGAGGCAACAACATTCTGGTTTGTCCCTTTCATTTCATGTACAATATTTTGACTGAATAGTTAAATACATAAAGTCCAATTAGCTTAATGCTCTATGTATTTGTTCCTAAATGTTTAGGTGATGTGTGATGCCTACACTCCTGCTGGTGAACCAATTCCATCAAATAAGAGATTTAATGCGGCAAAAATATTTAGCCACCCTGAAGTTGTTGCTGAAGAACCCTGGTTTGTTCTGTTTTAACTATGAATTTTCCCTTTTATAAACATATATATATTCTTGCAACAAATATACAGGTATGGGATAGAGCAGGAGTATACTTTGCTGCAAAAAGGTGTTAAATGGCCAATTGGGTGGCCTACTGGGGGTTATCCTGGACCCCAGGTAACCAAATTTAATTTTTCCTCTTCAACTTGTAGTTTTTCCTTCTTTTTTTTTTAAAATTGTTGTTTATCTGCTGGTTTTCCATTTATTTTAAAAAATAAATGGCAATATTTTTTGGGTTAATAGGGTCCGTACTACTGTGGTGTTGGTGCTGACAAGGCCTTTGGCCGTGACATTGTGGACTCCCATTACAAAGCCTGTATTTATGCTGGCGTCAACATTAGTGGCATCAATGGAGAGGTGATGCCTGGCCAGGTAGATGCATCCTTCTGTTCTTTTAATCGGTGTCTTTTGCCAGAAATTTGTTTTTCAGCATTTTATCCGTAAACATAAAAAATTTGAATTTTATTTCCCTGATGGTGTTCATCTCTTACATAGTGGGAATTCCAAGTTGGCCCTGCTGTCGGTATCTCTGCAGGTGATGAGGTGTGGGTGGCTCGTTACATTCTAGAGGTAATTTAAACTTGCTAGAGCATAGACTGCAGCAATGTGGTTTAACTCTTAATTTCTTCACTGAATAGTTTGGAATATTTTTTTCTTCAATGACAGAGGACTACTGAAATTGCTGGAGTGGTTCTAACTTTTGACCCTAAACCTATCCAGGTTGGATTTCAACTCTGAGGTTTGACTGATTTAAAAATTTATATCTTTTATGTTAGTAATGCAAAACGCATCATCTCTTTTGTTTGTCTGACTGACCAGGGTGACTGGAATGGGGCTGGCGCACACACAAACTACAGGTTAATATATGTGATTTGTAAAATCTAGTTTAGAATCTAGCTGCTGGTGCAGATGTGAATAAATATATGATAGCAAAAGGAAAATGGTTGTGTTTTTATGTCATCTTCTTTAAAATCCTCTGACCTGCCTTTGCAATGTTCTGGTAATTAATTTCAGCACCAAGTCCATGAGAAATGATGGTGGTTTTGAGGTCATCAAGAAAGCCATTGAAAATCTTAAACTGAGGCACAAGGAACACATTGCTGCCTATGGGGAAGGCAATGAGCGCCGTTTGACCGGAAGACATGAAACAGCCGACATTAACACCTTCTCATGGGTATGAATTTCTTCCCACCTGTTCTATTCATGTTAATTCATGTCCTTTGAATTTCCGAAGATTGGAACATGGAATGAATCAAAATTTGTGTGTTTGAATTTGACAGGGAGTGGCAAACCGTGGAGCCTCTGTTAGAGTTGGCAGAGACACAGAGAACGCAGGCAAAGGTTACTTTGAGGACAGGAGGCCTGCTTCAAATATGGATCCGTATGTTGTCACTTCCATGATTGCTGAGACAACCATCCTCTGGAAACCTTGAGACTGGAGACTTGAATGCGGAAAACCACCATTTCTTGCCTTCTGGTTAATGTTATGGTTTTTTACCTCAATATTTCTATCTTATTTATGGGAAACATTGATACATACCTGCTAGTATTCCTTACCAGCTGGCTTTATCTTAGTGGTAGTTCCGCAACGCGTACGGTGTCTTGGGAATAGTACTTCCTCTTTATATTTTCCCGGAATTTGCTGGCAATAATACAATGGCATCAAAACTGGAATGGTCCTTTCGCTCCTCTTCTCTCTTTTTTCTTAAGAAAAATAAAATTTTGGAAAGTTGCTTTCTGTATTTTTGTACTTTTACAAATATTCAGTATTTCAGTTAAAAACTTTTTTTACTATAATTTTATAATTAAAAAATTATGCAAGTATCAATCACTTATAAATATGAATTTCTTAAAAGATTTTGATAAATCTTATATAAATTTGAATTATGATTGATAAATTGTAATATATGAATAACTTTCAACTTGTCGTCACTGTATCAGAAAAAAAGCAATTACAGCTAGTAATATTTTTTTGGATTCTTCTTATGATTGAAGAAGAGAGAATCTTATAAAATGGTTATTTCACGTCATCGGCCTATTTTCATTTTGTTCAAATATTAACTAAAAAGATTAATCAAAATTTTTTATAAAAGAAATAGGGTTTGTGTAGAGTACATGGAAGGCTTGGAACAAGTTATCCAAGGAAAATGGAAGAATGCCATAAGTGCATAATGAAAAGCTTTTGCGTTAATGCATTAATTAAGGTTTTATCTTAATTAAAAATATTAAATTTTATCTAATAGATTCTGTTTGATAGATGTTTTGATTTCTTTGCTTTTTGTCTGGTTTTTCTTTTTCGCAAAAATGGATCAAAAAGAATAAAAAATAAAATCTACCATTTGAAGCCATAATAGTTTTTAGCATAGTATTTTAAAATTGCTTTAATGATTATTACTAATAAATTAACCATGTGTTGACAATCATTACTTTACCTTTTATCGTATAACAGTCTCAACTAGTATTGTTCTATATATTAAATCTGAATCCAAATTACCGATTATATACTCACACGACACTGATCCGTAAACAGTATCAGCTATATTTTTCTACTTGAAATTATTAAAAATTTAAAATATAATATTTTATATCAATAACTTACATAATTATTGAAATTATTACAAATTAAAAATATAAGATTTTATATCACTAGATTACATAATTATTGACATGTCTATATCTTTTCTATCAAAAACTTAATATGAAAAAGAAAAAAAAAAAAAAAAAAAAAACGTTGAAATGAATGAAAGGGATAACAGGCAATTTTTTCACTGTACTGCAGGTGAAGGTTGAATTTTGCCAATGTACTTCGATTTGGATGAATTTTGCTATTGTACTTTCACTTTTGGGCAAAAGCTAACGGAACTGAAATATTTCGTAAAATATTTTATTCATATATTTAAAATAAGTTTTGAATAAAATAATAAATTGATGCAGATATTCTATATGCAACAAAAGTATATGGAGTGTCGTGATGGAATAAATTATTATTTGTTTTATGTATTTTATATTAATATAATTATTTTTAAATATTAAATTTAAAATTTTTTTTAAAAAGTTAATTTTAAGTTATTAACCCTTATACCATTAATTCTCGCACAAAATAATTAATGTAATAATAATAATAATAATAATAATAATAATAAAATACTAACAATATTTATTAACATTTTTTATTTTTTTTCATTACTTTTAAGTTAATATTAAAAAGCAAATAGGTTAAATTGGGATACAAGAGCTTAACATAAAAAATATTTTTAAGTTATATATCTTATTTTATTAACTTAAAATTGTGATAGAAAAATTCATAAAATATTCTTTAAAAGGAAAATTTTATTTTTATTAGGGGCAAAAAAATATGAAAATCAATTCAAAACTATGATATTCAATTCCATTCAGAACATTTTTTTTATATGGATCAAATTTGTTGGATTATAAGGTTCAGCAATCTCTCTTAGAGATTCGGTATGTTGATTCATTTAGGTGAAATATTTCATGGTGGATTGAATTTCGGTGTAGGACAACCCAACTTACAGAAGCTTAATGGGTGAGGTATCCCGTTAAGGCTTTACAAAGCCACTTATGTCCACCTGTCGCTTAGGGCTCTACATTACCAAAAAAAAAAAAAAAATAGAGTTACGCCTTCACTATCAGCTATAGCTTTTGATGCAGTGGTAAGCGTTTGATCCTGAAAATTGGTATCAGAGCTTTGGTCTCTTTTTGTAGGTTTAATCACCTTGAGTAAAGATCTTATGGCTCAATTTTGGTTTCGAGATTGTGAGAAAGTCCTCAAAGCTCCCATGATTGATGAATTTGAATTTTATGAATGGAGAAGGAGAATGAAGATATTCATAATGGCCCAAAATTTTAAAGCTTGGAATGTGGTTGAAAAAAGGCTTAGAATTCCTTCAAATGATGCAAGCTACATGAGGCAAATAATAAATGATGCAAATGCCAAGTGCATTCTCTATGGAGCTTTAGATGATTACAGCTTCAACTTGATCTCAAAATGCTCAACCTCAAATGATATATGGAGAAAGTTGGATGAGTTATATAAAAGATAAATTTCCAACCAACATACACCATGTCTTATGGCTATTGAGGAACCAAAGGTAACCTCTAACTCTTGTGATTCAAACTCTTATACTTTTGATGAGTTATAAGATGCTTACAATGATTTAGTAATTGAGTTTGAAAATATGCATTTGAAATATAAGAAAATGATTTCAAAATTAAAAGTTGAAAATGAATTTTTAATGAATTCAAAGAATGATTTAGAAAAGGAAAATGATAAATTAAAAATGAATTTTGAAGCTTGTCAAAAGAAAAATGAAATGCTAGAAAAAGAGAATTTAGAATTAAGAAAGAAATTTGAAGTTTTGATGAATGAAAAACAAGAGCTTTTAAACAAAAGCTTAAGTAGTAAAATGATTAAATGTAATTTTTATAATTTTCATGGTCATATTATACATACTTGTCCTATTAAAAGAAAAGTTTCATTTCGAATTAGGCAAGTATGGGTTCCTAAAGGAACAAGAAACTTGCTCACTAACTTTGAAGGACTCAAAGCAATTTGGGTACCAAAAATCAAATGAGATTGTCTCTTGTAGGTATGCTAGAGCAAATAACCACAATGTAAGAATGAAGATTGAATACTCTAGACACACAATAGAGATGGGTAACCTTTAAACTTTTATTTGAAGAGAATTTGAATTTGGTTACCTATTTTTTATGAAATTTGAATGCTTGATTGATTATGCAAAATTTGGTTAACAAGATATATGTTGCATAATCTTGAGAAAATGTAAGCTTTCATTCAATATGCATTTATTTTGCTCTTTAAGTATGTTTGAGATGCTTGCTGAAATTGTTTGTGGTGTTAAATTGCTTGAGCATACTTTTGTTGATAAATTTTTTTATTGATTTGTGATTGTTAAACATGCTTATATCACCATGATGTTTAAAATTGCTCAAATTTGTTTATAATGTTTGGATCTTGTGAATTATTTAAACTTGATTGTGTTATACATAAATGTTTTAACTCTTGATTTATGATTTTAAAAATTGATGATCATCTTGTGCTTAAATAATATATATTGTTGTTTGATTGTTCATCTCTTGACTTCTTATGAAATAATCTTGAAGTATGATTTAATTCATTATCCTTATTAATTCAAGATTTATTTCTTCTCTTGTATTGATGAATTGATAAATTTTATGTGCTTAAGTAACATATATTGATTCTTTGTTCATCTATGTTTTTTGTCAAGGTATGTGCTCATATGATGATTGGTTCAAGTTGACCTTAATACTTGTGATTTGAAAGTGCTTAAATTGTCTATTTTTAATTTGTGAAATACTCTTGTAAAATATGCTTATTTTTGTGCTTAAATGTTTTATTAATTTTATGAAATATTTTGAATCTTGTGCTCAATTGATATATTTCTTGATTTGTAATTTTGAATACGATGAACTACTTGCTTGTAAATGATATGTGTTATTGGTTCATCTATTGTTCTTGTCAAGTGTGTGTATATATGATAAATGTAATTTTTTTTGACTTGACATGATTGCAACATAACTTAAGTAAATGAATTTCTTGTGATGCTTATTTTTAGCTTAAGTCATTTTTTATTATGGTCTATAATTTGTGTAGACATATTCATGTTTTTGTGTTAAAATTTTCTTGAATATATTTTTTTTATAAATATATCTTCCTTGAGTTTTTAGTTTTTACGTGGCCTAAAACTTATTTCGACATATTCTTTGGTGACTTATTGAATATATATATATATATATGAATATTGAATATGTCTATTTTGTGTTCATAAATGATCTAAAATGTTTGATTTTTACACATTATATGAGAACTTTTGCTTTAGTGCCATTCTTATGCTATTTGATGTTTAAATTGATATATGATTTTTAGCTTAAGTATATATCTCTTTTGCAATTGGCAACTTATGCTTAGTGAATAAATTTTATATCTTCCTTACAATTGGTAACTTGTGCTTAGTGAATAAATTTTCTTTTGCCTACAATGACTTAGAATATGGAATTGTTTTCTAACAATTGGTATAATTTTTATTAATTGATTTTCTTAAAGATTCTAATGAAAATCTTTTGTCAAAAAATTTTTTTAAGTCTATGCTAGAAAAACTTGAAAAGAGCATGAACATGCCTATATTTTTGGAAGCAAGCAAAGCATGTCATCCTCATCAATCAAACCTAAGTACATAAAAGACTAGCTCAAATGATGTGGAATGGAGGATTCAAAATCTCACTCAACTACTATGAGCACAACAACATAGCTTGATAAGGATAGAGGTAATTGTATTGAATCTATACTATGTGCCTATGATTTTATAATGTTTAATGCATGATTTCATAAATGCTTGCTTTGATATGTACAAAAATGAGATATTATGTTTGAATTTATGAACACATTGCACAAATTAATCACTAAGCCACTTGGTAGATATTGTTCTAATATTTTTGAAAGCTTGGATTGATTAACTCACCTTCATTGATATTCAAGCCTAGTTCTTGATTGCTTTGATTAATAGTTTTTATTGCATGAATATTTGTTTATGATGAATCTTTGAACATAGCTATGAGTTGGATATGTTGATTTCTTGATCTTTAAATTGATTTGACTCATAGATTATGAATTATAAATTTAAAAT